TGTTGAGATTTTTTAAATTAAATACTTTTAATATATTTTATTGCATTCCATCAAAGTCTTCACCACATATGAATCTGGACAGACATGCATGTAAACTGCAACTTGACTGGTTGCTGGAGGCATGCAAAACAAGAGGTGGTAATCCTAGTTAACACTATTTTGCAGCTGGAAAAAAAATCTAAACAAGTCACTACTTTTGTTCTTTCCAGCATTTGGCTTTTTATGGAGGAAGCCAACTGAAAATCACCATCAAAGGAAACTAATTTGTAAAATAAGTTGCTAAAAATTAGAGTTGCAATGAACTGCAGTGCCCATATAATGCTGCATTTGTCACCGCAACTACAGCCTCCAAAATGAGCATTCCAGTTGTATCAACACCTCTCTATAACTGAACACGATCACCTTCATGAAGGAGACTTCACTGCAGGTTGTTGGATTAGACTGACCTGGTTTTAGGTAAATGTACCTAATAAACTGGCAACTCTGTGTATATTTAAAAAAACATTTTGGTAAAGTACACAAACGTCTTTCAGTTGAACTAGAATATGTGTTAATTTAAAGGACAAAAACATCACACTGACAAACCCACACCTCACCCACTGGTCATGTGATTAAAGGATTGACCTCACACATTATCACTTATCTGCTCCCGACACACCTGTGCAGATTCCCAGCAGGAACCAGAGGCACATCTGAACAGTTTCACCTCTTAACACTGGACATTATAGGGGAAAATCTGGCTCAAAAAACAAGTGTGAAAAAAACAACTAATGACCATATCTTTTTAGACCGTTTTATTGACATTGAATTAATGACAGATAATGTTATAGATATTATGTTTGAGATTTTTTTTTTTTTTTAAACAGGGGAACTCTGGTGATCACACAGCCTATTCGATATTCAATCCATTTTATGCAAAATGTGTTTACCACATTAAAATAACCTGCTGAGACTAGCCAAAACATCAGAAAACTTCACTGATATTAATGTAAAGCTGTGCAATGGCCAGACTGTAAAAAAATCTAAAAGATCATACAAATAAATTTGGAATCAAATATGCTGACCTCTATAGCCTACAAGAAAACGGTACTTGCTGTGATAACTGTTGACTGCCTAGGTGTGGCACACAGTTCATAATTACTGCCGCTAAATTGCCTTAAGTCTCTCTTCATATTACATCCTACAGTGCCATCATTTTTTCAAAGCACACTGCAGATGAGTAGAAAGAAAGCACCACATTTAACTTTCAGGTCATAAGGCTTGGACATTCCTTCAAGATTTAGCAGCACGGTAGCTATGATAATCACAAACTGCAGGCTTGGTTAAATATAACCTCTTGATAACAAAGTCATGTGAATTACAACACTGACATTTTCAAGCTGCTACTATATTATTTATTCAACCACTTCCACGCCCCAGCAAACAAACAGTGGTCTCCACTGACATCACAGCTATTTCTCACCTGATATAATAAAAGGGTGACTTTACACGACTGTTAAAGTGACTATGTCAAAATGTCTCCATAGTTAGTGGTAAAATTCAAGTCAGCTTTTATACTGCATACTGACCAGTTCCTAAATTTGTGAACAAAATGATATGTCTCTAACACTCCTATCAAAGCACAGTAATCCAATTGTGCCTGTAGACCTATTTCCTTCCTGAGTACTGTAGAAAGTTATGCTAGTGTGTTTATGACTTTAGAGCTACTGAGAAAGAACAATGTTTATATCCTCCAGCAACTCGAGACAGATTCCAAAGGTTGTCCTGTATTAAAAAACTAGAAGAATGTACTTCTGTATGTGTGTACTGGTATAGGTACACAATAATAAAGTCAGCTAGTAAAATAAAATACTCAAATTTAGTTACAATTATGCTCAAATTTCTAGGGTTGAAATTTTGAAATATTTAACACAATCTGGGGGACACAAGAGTTTCAAAGGACTGGTCATTTCCCATACAGAGGAAGTCTAAGGAAAAGACACTATGGAGTTGCATTGTGGGAAAAGTAAAATCCAGCCTATTTGGAGATTGACTTGAGTCTAAATAAAGATATCATCAAAGAATCAAGATTATTTGATGACTGCATTTACTAGATACTTAAGAGTACATTTGTGACATTTTATATGACAAAAATTATAAGTTCATAATATACAACTTATTACAACAGATTAGTGTATCTGAGCTCTTTTTTTCCCTTCCCCTCACTAATCATGTTACAGCTCCTCAGATTTTTCTTGTGCTTCCTTGGAGGGGAACAACCCACAGGTTGGGAACCACTGAACTAAGCTACCTAACTTAATATAAAGTGTTTAAAAACAAGCTCCACAGCAAGAGTAAAATGCTATTTACATACAGTATTAACAATCTATTAATGTCAAATACAATCCAATATTCATACCAGCAGACAATTTACTGCATTTATGTCTGATACTTGAAAATACATTTTACTGTTAATACCTCTGTAACCTACTTTTACTACGGTAAGTAGGATTTTTGTTTCACTTGTAATGGCACTCTTACTTAGGTAAAGGACCTGGCACTTTTTCTGCCACTGAATGTAGGTGACATTACAAGATTCTAAAGTGGTATCAAATCACACAGTACTTCAGAAATACGCAGTCTAATCTGGCTTGAAAAGTTTTGAAGCCATCCTATTTGGCTACAGTTTAACTTCCTGCAACTAAGATCGAAGTCTACCCCGCCCTCTTTTCTAACCGTGCTCGCTGGTTAGTAGAAAAACTGTCAATCGTACCATCTTTGTCAAATGACGTTCAAGCGAGCAGACATATATCCCTCCCCGACATCCACCCAGTAAGTTTCCTTTTAACGAATGGTGAGGAGTAGATTGTACCTTACCAATTACTCAACAAAATCTAAAAACCACATACTTACATTGAAAGGGTTCTCGTTAGCAGGCTCTGCGAACGGGTTGTTATCAAATCCCGACATTGTGAACAGGCTGAAGAAAGTTTTAACCTGAATCTGAACGGGGAATAAACAACCTACTCTCCTCTGTCGCTTCAGTTGCCTCTTCTATCCACTTCCTTGAATGACGTTGAGTGCGCAGGCGCACTAAGCCGATTGTACAATGTACGTCAGTTGCGTTGGTTGACAGCAAAAGCGCGCCACCTGTGGATTTCACTTTAATAATTTCAGTAGTGGAAGAAGTACTCAGATTGCTTATGTAAGTAAAAGTAGCAATACCACAAAACAAATTACAAAATATTCAAAAACTGAAACTGCATTCAAATATTATTTAAGTAAAAGTACAAAAGTATTAGCACCAAAATAAAATTCCATGTATTTTACTTGGCAATACATATTCTGATTGATCCTATAGACCTACTTCAAATAGCCTACCAAAAGTAAAAGTACTCATTGTGCAGAATGGCACATTTCATATTAACGCATATCATAATAACTGGTGCACTGTTGTGTACATCACACTTATGTTGCAGCTGGCAAAGTTGGAGCTAATGTTAACTACCTTATACACTTATAATGCTTTACATACAGCTGGGTGGCTTATGAATTTTCAACCAAGAATCCTCTTAAAGTTTTATGGTTTTGTGGTATTTATTATGTTGATTCTGAAAAGTGACGGTGTCTCTAAGTGTCAGCCCTGTGATAGGCCGGCGACATGTCCAGGGTGTAGCGCACCTCTTTCACAATGACAGCTAGAATTGGCCACCACCCATACTCACACTCACTCTTTCAGGCAAGTTAGAGCCACCAATGCTGGTAGGCCTGTTCGGTCATCAATCCAGGGTTATACAACACCCCAAATAATAAAGGCATACATATCAAACATGCACGTAATATAAACAAACAGAATAAATAAAACACAAAAGATAAAACAAAGATATAGTCAAAGAGGAAAAAGATAAGACCTAATATAATCTATGTAGTGCTTTGATTCATGTGTAAAATTCAATCTATATTTGTTGAAGAAAAACGAAGAGTTACGAAGCCTAGTCGTGACGTCACGTCGCCAAAACGGACAGACGCTGCAGTCATGGCGGAAGTGAGAGGTGAGTGCGATTGTCTCCTTCATAACTGTTTCAAATGATCAGCTTAATCCTGTACATTTAGCTAGCTTAATGGTGCAACGCTTTATTTTCACTACATGGTTCATTTTACAGGTTATTAATATGACTAAACTGACCGAGAAGCTCGTTGTTAACGAGCATCCACACCGCTATTCCAGCCGGCGTTTTGTTTGTTTAAATAGTAGATATTTAAACCAGCATTGTTAGTATTACAGTGAAACTATATGGCATTTTGGCAATATTTATAACGTCGAATGTGACAGCTTTACGAGAAATGTATATTTTGTTCAAGGTCGCGAACTGATCCAGTCCCCTCGCAAATGGAAACCTGCTTACTGTGTGTTTCTGTCACTGAACGCTGCATCGTCAGCTCCCTGGTGTTGGAGCTTATCAATGTGATATCTGAATCCGTTTTTCTTGTTTGCCTATTTTATGAGGGTATTTTCATTTTATTGTCGTTTTTATTTTAAGGATTCCCACACTGAATTTGTTCCCTTCCTCAGTGTTTCCTCTGACCTGTGCCGTGCAAAATTATGCATGGGGGAAGATTGGGCTGAGCAGCGAGGTGGCCAAACTGGTGGTTAGTGGAGACCCACTAGCTGTCATAGAGGATGGCAAGCCCTATGCAGAGGTACAGTTGTTCCTGGGAAGATTCATGTCACTGCACTGGTCCCTGAAAAGGGCATGGTATGGGTGTAAATTTTATGATGAAATGGATGATTCTTTTTTTAGTTTGATTTCAAAAACTAAAATTGTCTTCCAAAAATGATACAAAAATTCCTTTGTATTGGACATAAGATCATGTATGAATAAAGAAGTTTCATCAGTTTGGACTGGGGGTTCTGGCCCTTATTTTTGGGTGTAAATACTGGATTTTTAAATATTACAATATAATACATAATCTTACAAGATTTTTGTCACTGTTGGACCTGATGGCACGGGTCTTAATCAGAATCACACAAGCATTAGCTCGGTTGTCAGTGTACTTTGTCATAATGCCTAGATGTGTAGTAATTTCGAAATTGGTAAGACTTGACTGTGCTCATTATAGGCTTTTAAATGTTGTTATACTCTTCTATACTCAGTACAGAGACCATCTGTGTGAAAACTGTAGTTATCTGGTATAATTTTCAAGGTTTTAAATATAGTGTAGCTCCTCATTAGAGACCTTTCTTCTCTCCATGCCTTTCACAAGTCTTTATTTAGCTACAGCAGCTCTGCAGGATTCGCCATGGAGGTCATTAGTTCACATTATGGTTGGGATGACATTTTCACATGGCCATATTAATGTTTCATGGTTATCCACAGAGGGTGGTGTCTGCAGTACATTGTTTAGTACAGTTAGATTTTGTCCTGTTATTACTGTATATTTTAGGTAAGAAATTATTGGCACCCTTGTTTGTACATTTATGCAGTTGCATTTCAGTGATTTTAGTTTAACATAAGAGAAAATTGACAAACTAGCAGTGATAGATACCAGGCCTTTGTCTCAGGAAACAATTTGGACTCCCTTTAGCCATATACTAAGGATGCTTAAAGCCAAATGAAAATAAGGGAAGCAACAGACCTGCCACAACTACTATTTACTGTGTAATTAGTTATTTAATTGAGATTTATTGCTAATCACTGGTACACATTGAGGAAGGGGAAACTGTTTCACACTCGTAGTCTCCAGTTAGGTCAAGTTACTGACACAGTCACAAACCCACCTCTACTTCTGCCTTCACCCACTATAATCAGCAAGAATATTTTGAAGCTGCTTTAATGTACATAACCTGTTCATCTAAAAGGAAAGTTTTCTTTTCCAGCTGTGGATGGGTGCTCACCCAAAGGGTGATGCCCAGATTAAAGATAACAGGATCACACAGACCACGCTGGGCCAGTGGATCGCCCACTTTCCTGCTTGCCTGGGCTCCAAGGTCAAAGACACCTTCCAGGGTCAGCTGCCCTTCCTTTTCAAAGTCCTTTCCGTCAATACGGCTTTGTCCATACAGGCCCACCCCAACAGGGTGAGTTCGCAAACACACATGTACACAGAGATCAGATTCTGCATAAGATGACTCATTATTCTGAACTGGGAACTTGTTTAGGAGGCATGTTTTTTAATGCAGAAAGAATAGCTACAAAACACAAAAATCAGCTATAGTTGCACATTATCATCAGTATCTTCTAAATGTAGGTTTAAGTATCATTAGTAATTACACCTAAGGAGCCTTGGAACCTTTGTGGCTATTTTATATACCACATGAAAATGTTTAACATGCCAGTGTTTGGTATAATTTTCTTCAGCACAACCTCGTTTTTTTTACCTGTCCTCTTTACTAACCCTCTTCCTTTTCTGTCATTGTGGTTTGGTCAGGACTTAGCTGCTCGTCTCCATGCTCAGTTTCCAGAGCACTATCCAGACAACAACCACAAGCCGGAGATGGCCATTGCACTCACCCGCTTCCAGGGTCTCTGTGGCTTCAGACCAGTGGAAGAGATCCTGGGATTCCTTAAATGTGAGTCCCAAAGTAGTGCAGGCTCTCTTAAGAGGATTTTGGATTATCTGCAAGAGATAGGAGCAAAAAATAATTTTAAATTAACAGTATTTTGGAATCAAGCTCATATATGTGTTATGTTGGATGATGAATGGATGTGAGGTGAAGCATTTTGAAGGATAATGTTACAAGAAAATCATACCGAGTTTTTTTTTTTTGTTTTTTTTTAACATGCGCATCCATCAGGTGTCCCAGAGTTCCATGCTCTGGTGGGAAACGAAGCAGCAGAAGAGCTGCGATGCAGTGTGGGAGATGTGGTCCGTACAAGCCAGGTGCTGAAGAAGTGCTTCACGAGGATGATGAATTGTGAGAAGAAGGTGTTTGTAGACCAGCTCAACATGTTGGTGAAGAGAGTCACTGAAGAGGGTGAGTGCATGGCTGCATGACGTGTGTGTATGAGAGTAATGTAGCATGTTAACCCGCGCTTTTCCCTGTTGAACTCTCTACTATAGTCTTATGGCAAATCGACTCTTTACATGAAGACATTGTACTTAATTCTGTTCTATAGTACACCGGCTGCCATAAGTTCTTTTAAACCATTTCTGAAATTGTAATAAGCAATCCATGATTTGCTGTGACTGTTATATAGTGAAAGTTGACTGCTCAATAACTGGCAGTAATCTTTTTATCTGATTATATTAAAATATTTTCTGTTCGTGAAACACATTTAGAAAAAATGTAGGTCAGTTTTTTTTTCTTCTTATTAACGTGTTTTTCTGATGTAGTCACACTTGTGGATATTTGACCCATGCAGGTGCAGCAGGGAAGGACACATCGAGCAGCAACGGTGACCTTCTGCTCCGTCTCCATTCCCAGTATCCCGGAGACATTGGCTGCTTCTCCATCTACTTCCTCAACCAAGTGGTCCTGGATCCAGGCCAGGCCATGTTCCTGGGGGCCAATGAGCCTCACGCTTACCTTTATGGAGGTCAGTAGGTGCTTTTCATTTACATTCATGAGAAATAAGAATGAGAACAACATCAAAGTGCGGGACTTCCTACACTGCTGAGTCTCCAGTGTCCCGTTCTGAATGAGAGAGAGGCAGCTGGTGAAAAGTACATAGCTTCATTTTTAGAAAAGGCTTGGTAATTTCCTAAAACAACTGCTGCAACTGTTGTTGGTGGATGTTAGATGTGTTTAGCTCACCTCTGTGTTTGGAAAATATTCTCTCAGTCCACCCACACATTCATCTTGCAGTTGAGTGCAAGTTATCACAAATTCATGACTGTAAAATCAGATAAAGCACTTGGACCAGTAGAATGTATTTCACATCACAGATTGTGTCCGACGTCGTCTGAGAGTCTATCTGAAGGAGAGTCGGCTGCCCTCTCTGCTTATTTAAAATATTTCCTTTTCTGTCTGTTCATCTATCTAGACTGTATCGAGTGTATGGCCTGCTCAGACAACACGGTGAGAGCCGGTCTCACACCAAAATACATCGATGTTAACACGCTGTGTGAAATGCTGAACTACAGTCCTGCCCCCGCCAGCTCCAAACTCTTCCCATGTGTCCAGGACGCTTCAGACCCTTGTGTGTCCCTGTACGACCCCCCAGTGCCAGACTTCACCGTCATGAGGATACAGGTAAGACACCTCAGGGACCTTGATGATGACACTACAGGAAGTTCACACCTGAATAAAAACTGTACGGTGATAGAAGTTAGTTACATTTTTTCCTCAATTTTTGACATTTCATGAATAAAATGATAAATAATTAGCAGATTGGCCCTGCCTTTTTATTTCCATTCATTTATTGTTTTACCTAAAATGTCATCCATCTGTAGATTGTTTAAAAACAGACTTGTCAGTGAATTTTGCATATATTGTATCTCTCATGAACTTGGCTTGTTCTATAACCTAATCAAACAGCCACTAGTGCATTCCCAGATTTGTGTTCAGCTTTAAAGTGTCCATTTATGTCAAAGAATTTTGCAAAGTCTTGTTAAGTTGCAGATGCATTCTCCCCTTGTTCCGTCCCGTCTTTTGTGCAGGTCCCAGCCTTGGTGAAGCAGTACACTGTGGCTCCAGTTGACAGCGCTAGCATCCTCCTGATCATCGAAGGGGATGCCACAGCAACCTCCGCCGCGGCACTCTCTGACATCACACTGAGGCGGGGCACAGTCCTGTTTGTCTCAGCCAATGAGAGCATCTCCCTGCACATCATCTCTCAGTCAGGAATGACCATATTTCGAGCCTGCTGCCTCCTGTGAGTCTGTTGCTGGCTGAAAACTCGTACTACCTGTTTGTTCCCTCTCTGGTTTGACTCAGCAAGGTCACTACATTATTGATTGAGCCCAATGGCTGACGTGCACTTTTTAGTAGGTAGTATGCTGAAGGAGCTTTGAGACACAGGGTGTCGATGCCTATCCGTGCCTGCTGCCCAGACCAACCCAAAATTAACCTTCCGACTGCTGTGTCACCTCTTTATACCAGCAGCAGTGTTCTTCAGCTTTAAAATCCAGCAGTAACCCAAAGCTGCTGGATTTTATTTGGTTTGGCTTTTTTTCCCCCCTGCCTGTAATGGTGCAAGTACAATTTCCCATCCTTTCCAGGAAAAGGGAAGAATGTACCCATCCCAAATTCTTGGTCAATGCTGCACACAATACTAGTGGCCAGTTTGTTAGATACATCTAGCTAAATCTAATGCAGTCTAATCAAACAGTCCTGCACTACTGTTCCAGAGAGGTGTTGATTCAACTGTATAGTCATTATACAGACAGATGTTTCCGTTATGACCCGGACCCTACCTCTTGCCCAATGTCAGATGGGATTGGCTCCAGCCTCCCAGCAACTCTATTCAGGAATAAGTGGTATAGATAATGGATGGATGAATGGATGTTTGTTATTCAGCCTAGCCTCATTACTATAAATGGACTGGACAAAATAAGAGAAACACCTGTCAGTATAACAGCAGCACAAACTGCAGCCTGATGATCGTACAGTATAATCAACGACTCTTTAAAACAGATTCAACAAAAACTGATCGTCACCTTCCTGAAGGACTGTTGTATTGGACTGCTGTAGCTTTAGCTCAGTGCACCTGATGAACTGTCAACACTGTCTGCAACACCGAACAGCAGCATATATAAATAAAATAAGTGCACATAACACTGGATCACCCTCATTGTGTTACTTATGATGAAGGTCAAGTAATGAAAATGTATTCTTGACCTTGGAAACCACAGTCATCAAAACAGTGTCCTAAAGATTATTTAGTAGCTGAGCTGACAATTTTAAATTTGAAGACGTAGAATTTCACAATACAGGGGAAAAAAATAAGATCACAGGATATAATGGAAAGAACCAGAACATCCACTAAATTAATCTAGTAGTGGAGATGTTTTTAAAAAAAGATTTTTTCTTGATAACTGACCAAGCTCAGCATCTGATAAAGGCCATGAATGTGTGTTTTCTTACTAGGAGCTGTTCAGTGCTGTGGACATTCTTACTTTTCATTCTAAGTATAACTGTAGAGTCTTATTTTTCAGTCTGAAATAAAGATGGCACAGACTAACAGCAACTTATTCAAACAGCAGGGTGGGGGATATGTTTACACTGGTGCAGTACAGCTCCAGTACTACGGTGCTGAGGACTGAGCATGTCTGTTTAATAAGCCAGCAGTCGTCTTCCCCCAGGGTCACTGGTGCAACTACCTGTTTTATCATTTTAACTTTAGCTTCAACGACACCTTTGGGAAAAATCCACTGTTAGTATATCAACAGTTGAGAGTATATAGTTAATGCTGAGATGCCTGTGCATGTTTGATTTAGAGTAGTAATACTGGGGAGGGACTTCTTGACTGTGATAATGTGACAGCAGTTGAATCTGAATGAGTTTACTGCCTTTAAACTGTTACCAGTGCATGTTTAGGATGTGGAAACTTCTCATCAAAGTAGTGAATGATTAAAACAGAAGCAAGCAAGACGGGCCACTGCCTAGATCCATCCCATGAAGCATGACTACATGGGAATCAGGAATGCATAGTGATTAAAACTCCTACTCCTATATAATTACCTCTGGCAAATGTTTTTTTCATGACATAACTCAAAAAATTATGACTGGATTTTGATTAAATCACACAGAACTATCAGATGTTGGTGGTGATCCAGGTTTTTTTAAAATTTTTTTTAATTCTTCACCATTGTGAGGTAGGACCAGTTTCAACAGTTTTGCTTCCAATTCCATACATAACGCCTACAATTCTTGGACAACAGTCGTGAGACAACATCCCCACAAGATCTACCGCACACCAAAATACGACCCAGATCCAAGTAATATTCCAGATCTGCTGATCCAGAATGTTCCCATTTATAGAGCGCACAGAAAACGAATAATGCTACAGACGTGCAACTGAGATCAAATTCTAGCTGAAACACTGCTGATTCAGTAAAGCGTCAACAGATTTGACGTATCGTCAAAAGTTACTGAACTAGATACTGAAGAAAACCGCCATTACTGAAATATTGTTTTCCTTTAATAACATTCAAACTGATATCAACGTTGGTTCCAAATACCAGGGGTAGGTTTTCATGGTCTAGGTGTCATATGAGGGTCAAACTATCATGGGAATTTTACTTTTGGGTGTAGTGGCATTATGGGGAAACTGGGCAGCCTTGGTGGAGGTTTGCTCTCTGAGTGCTGTCTAGTTAAAATGCTGCTTGTTGCACACTTGCATAACATGAATGAAGGCTGATAACTTCTCCACATCTTATACAGTACTACAATAAAATGCTGCATTCAGTTTTATAGTATTATAGGAATAAACATGTCTGTATTTGAAACCAAATTTGAGACTTTGTATGTTTTATTTGTACTATCCATCAATACATGACATTACATACTAAGAAAATAACCCTGAAATAGTACTGTGATACAAGCTTTTATCACAGGATGAGTGGTTTACCTTCATGATGACCACTGTCCAAAGTGGTACATTATTGCAACTACGTTTATTCAGTATGGTGCAAATTGCTGCAGAATCCTCTAGTTCAAATCATGGTCAATCTTAATTCAATTCAATTACTTAACCTCTAGAGTCCCTGCGTCCTCATATGAGGACCGCACAGCTTGGGTTTCCAAAGCTCAGGACTCTAGAGGTTAAAATCAGTCTCATGGATTGAAAAATTGTTACCTCAAATTGATCGCTTTAAATCTGTAAAACTGACTCCTTTATGTCAAATCTGCCATAATTTTAAAATGTTGATTTAGTGATGTAGTCTTGTAGAGGTCACAGTTACAGACCATGTTGTTCTGAAATTTGATTCAATTGTCAAACATCCTTGGCTCTAATCTTGTTTTAAGTCACCTTTTAATTTTTATACTGCAAGTACAGGACTTTGCACATAGGTTGTTTTGGATTTAGTTAATTCATATCCTTCAAATGCACATAGATCTGAAGGCCACAGTGTTTTACCTTCATTGTCTTTTTAACGATTATGATAATCCGTCTTGAAATTTCTGCCTAATGAGAACATGGTTTAACATTTTTGAATGTAGTGATGCTTTAGCATGGACCTGCAGAGAACACTATGTAAAAGTGGTTTAATAAAACCTTATTCTGTTCCTACACGGTCTGAACTGCTTATTTAATGTTTTGTGCCTATAAACTTTACAATACTCACTGTGGAATGGGCCGGATAGATGGACAACCTGAATACAAAATGCCTCGGGCCACAGCTATCACTGGCACCGAGGCATAAGAATATTGCCACATTGATTTTAGCCATTTCTTGCAGCACTGCTTGAAATATTTGTTTATATTTATCAAATATTAACCAGCGGTGATGTACATAATTTATGACACACTAAAATGATATACTGTATTTAATTTTTATTTATTTGCAGATTTATTCATGTCCAACAAAACTTCTTGATAAAACATGACACATTCAGAACGGAAGTACACTAACTATGTAAGGTAACTTTACAGTAGACATCAGTACCTACTGAAAGCTTATGGGCTGAACGTGAAATAAGAGAAATGCATCTGAAAATCCACCCACCATTATCTACATTCTCCCGGTTTAATAACAGACTTCTGAATCTTTTGTTAAAAAAAATACTCATTATGGACACAGACAGTTTGCTGCTCTGTTGTTACTGACATAAATGGCTGTATATGCAGCAAACACCACTCAAATTTTCATCTGAATATTCCCACAAAAAAATCTTAATACAGCTGCAATGGTCTCCAACCTGGTGGTAGTGACAATTCAAATGTCCAGGATGACAAAGCAAGTCAAGGTAGTGTATATGAACTAAAGGCCCTGTCAGACTACTGATGTTAAAGGTTTTGTAAACCATTAAGTTCTCCATCACGGTCCTCTGCTTTGCTTTCTGTGGCCTTCACAGTCTGCCTGAAGTGCTCCCACAGGAGGCGCTGTCCTGGTGGTTTAGCTGAGGCAGCTGTCACAGCTGGATTGTTCTACATGGTGTCCAGAGTAAATGTATGTCTACAGACCAAATCAGGTGTGGGCTGAAGCACACTATAAAGCGTCTGTAATGCCCGCACATCCTCCAAAGCATCATGGGCTTTGTAGTTCACACCAACCAGTTCCCTCACCAGATTCTCCTGACTAAAACTCTTGAGACAACGGTCCTTCAGCATCTCTCTGGATAGTGGTAGGGTGTCAACACAGCCTGCGATTGATGACTCAAACTGTGCCCTGAGGTTCAGTTTGTCAAGCGCTCGAGCTAGCACTGGACAGTCGAAGCGGCGAATGTTGTGGCCGATGACAAGTGGGCGACAGAGCATTTGAAGGAAGGCTATGAAGGACACCAGGACTTCTTGCAGGGAGTTTGTAAGGACAAGCTTGCGATTGAGGTACAGCTTCTGCCTGCGGACCCTGAAGCCGGTCACTTTGGCAGCTCCTCGCTCCATTCGACACTGAGGGACAGTGTAGAGGTTGAGTGAGTGGCCTCCACTCACTGCAGCCAGTTGCACGATCTCACAACTCTGACCTAATGAAAGAAAACTGTGCTTCAGAAGATATTTATCTGGAAAGACCTTCCAGATACTGGGTGTTCATGCAGCAAATCTGAAAACTCAGGTGAACTAATTGTAGGCTGAACCATAAATTGTTGTTGTAAATGAATCAACAATTTGGGGTGGGAGATATTTCTAAAATCATACTATAAGTCACACTGTGTTATGATAATATACAGTGTGGATATACAGTGGTGTAAACTTCATTTTAAAAGGGATAAAACTATCATTTGCCCATCAATTTTAGAAACTTTAGCAAATGTATTAAAATCAAAAACTGAAATCATTTGTAAAAGTATGAAGATGCTTTATTCTGTACTAGAAGCCTCTTTAACAGCAATTACAGCTTCGAGCCAGACTGGGTCAAATCTGAACAGAATTTCTGAGGATGTCATCAACTTTAATATGCATCTTCAATTTAAATAGATAATCCTACTAAGAAATCATAAAAACGCTCCTCGTGACTGCAGAACCTGTCTGGGAATCATCATGTTTTCGTCAGTATCAAAGTAAATTATTGATTATTGTCAATATATCCGGTATATATGGTACACAGTAAACAGGAAAGGCTAATGAAAATCTGAACATACTCTTCCAAAATGGAAACAAGCGTAGGCTAAAACGGGGCCCACGCTGCAGCCAGTGTAAACCAAAGTCCTGTCAGTCTATCAGGTAACACTGCCCCCTGGGGGCCAGTGTGCACT